ATAGGTTGATAATGGTGTTGGAAAAAGAATGTAGAACGATCGTGAAAATAAAGCCGTATTTTTGTGTGGGCGGTAAACAAAAATTACAAATAAAAGGGGGGAAAAAAAAAAAAAAAAAAAAAAAAAAAAAAAAAAAAAAAAAAAAAAAAAAAAAAAAAAAAAAAAAGGAACGAAAGAATCGTAAAACAAACATAACAGCGATAGATACATAGGATATATGTACGTATGTATGTATGTATGGTATGTATGTATGTATGTAAAGGTAGTAGGATAAAAATCGTGGTAAAGGAAACTGGGAGAAGAGAACGCAACAATTTCAATCGCACGCTTCGGGATTCAAACTCGCTTTTGTATTCCATCGGGTGCTCTCCGACATTTTTCCCTTTCCTCTTGTCTGGTTTAATATTTCCATCGAAAAAATGTCGAGGGCATTTCGAGCACCAAAAGGATATTAAAATCACGTTGAGTTGGTGAGAAAGGAGAAAGAGTGGTTGGTGTGTACTGGCTGGTGGTGTTGTGGTGGTGCTATAGTGGTAGTGATGGTGGGGTGGTGGCAAGGGGGTTGGGGAAGAAGGGAAAATCATTCGAAACCTGCCGGTTGAAACTTTGCGCGTTTTACATTCGCGCTATATCGTTTGCGTTTGCGTTTGCGTTTGCGTTAAAGTTAACGTTTCGGCGTTTCGTGCGGGAAACCGAGAACATTGCTACGAATGATCGCTTCTACGATAGAGAAAACAGAAAAAAAAAAAAAAATAAAAAAGGAAAAGGGGAAAAAAAAGTTCAATGAAAATAAAAAAACAAAAAAAAGGAAAAAGAAGAGAAGGAAAGAGAGCGCGAAAAGATAAAAGAGAACCGGATGGCGGTCGACGTCTCTTTTTGTTTTTGTTTTTTGTTTTTTTCTTCTTCTTCTTTTTTTTTTTATCTCTTTATTTTCCTCTCCCATTCTATCTCTCACTTTTTCTATCTGTCGGTATATCGACAAGTGAGAGATAGCGAGATTCGTCAACTGATAAACCAAGAATTGTAAAGGATGTGAAGCAACGACGCGTGAATATGGTCCGTTCGTATCTACGCGCGTGTATTCTCTC